GTGTGTTCTGTATCCCAGCTTCTGTCCCTTCCAGTCACTCTGAGGTGCATCATTCCAGGTTAACCTGAGGAAGAAACAAGGGCTCTCCTAACATCTTGTTCTCTCATTGGGATCAAGATTGCTTGGGAATTGGAGGTTCTTGGTTAAATACTGAGATCTCTGGAGAGGAAACTCTTCAGGGTCCTGACTTTGAGTCATATTACCTGCCCCTGCTGATGATATCAGAATTTTCTCTAAAATAAATATGACTTCATTTGTATACTTTATCCAGTAACATTCACTGAATGGCTATTGAAAATAATCTAATTTAGAGCTGAAATCTTCATACAAAACCAGAACTCTTCTAAAGCCTAATTTTGAAAAGGGCTACAGGATGAACCATGTGGTAGGACCCTTGACATTCTGAAAACTTATGTAACTTAACCCACTCTTCGTGATTGTGTCTAGGGTGAATATGTACCTAAGTCATGGTTCACCACTTCTCTACTGAGGACATAGCTTTTAGAATGAGCTGAAACTAAATATCCTGTCATTTACCCCTGGGTGTGGCCTTGAAATAAAGTGCAATCAGAAAGGGAAAAACAACAAAAATGCTTAAACACATCTGAAGAGCTCAGATTGAAAAGAGGTTTTCTCCTACATCTATGTGCACACATCACAAGATCACAGTCTTCTCGTTCAAACATATTGGTATTCTGGGACCTTAAATCATCACTACTTGATACTTCTTTTCTTATGATGCTGTTTCAAGTATACTGAAATATTTGGCCACATTTTATATGTTGAGATCTCTCTTTGAAAGTCTCATTCCCCACTTTACAAACGTGGACCACATTGTCCTGCATAGTATCTTGAACCTCTACAAGGACTTATGAACTAGTCAGAAACATAAAGGTATGTGCATGTGGATTCACTTGACAAAAGAAACCAAAATATTCATACAATCTATCATTACCCTGGCTTATAAGACATTTCAATATCAACCTCAATTGAGGACAATGACTATACCCTATCGAGGACTTTAGGCTTAAACAAGAATGGTAACTTTTCTGCACAAGGGCCAAAAACCCTTTTCCAAACCATTTTTCAAAATATCTTCCTTGGCCCTCGAGTTCTTTCTACTCAGGGCCCGTGTACTGTCCCTGGGCTTTGGTAATAAAGGAACAAAAGTGTTGACAGTCTATCAACTTCATTCACAGCACTACTTGTGGGAAATTTGGTGATAATTGGCCATAACACTTTTACAGCTATTGCTACCTAGTTTGCCTTTCAACTGTGATCTTTAAACCTCATACTCTTTAGCAAGTAAGTATCCCGATGTGAAGCACCAGTGCCCTGTTAGATCAGGAGATCTTAATTACTTGATCCAAGCAGGACTCATCGTGTCCACATAACAGGATATAAAATTCATAACATAGCCATATGCAAAGGTCCTTTTGCACTCACTTGGTAAAGGTCTGTTTACCTATCATTGGGTAAACCACACCCAAATTCTTCCACTAAATATTTGGAAGAATGTATTGGTTACATGTACCTCATCATTGGTCCTCAGGTTGAATTCAGGGGCAAAAATTTGTGAGGCTTCCTTTACCTTCTATAGAAGATGACCATTTGTATCACTGATTTTTCACCTTAGGTCTTGCTTCTCTGCCTGGAACTTTCAATACACAAATTGTATAATTACATATCAGAAGTAGTAAAAAGATAGGTACATATAACCAGAGCCATGCTTTTATTGGCTAAGATACCATTTTCATGGAGCTTTTGTATGGGATGGCCTACAAAACTATCTAATTTCAGCTTCCTGAGTAGTTAGGGTTCCACACATGAGGGAGTGTAATAGCTCATTTTTAATTGCTGGTCTGAAATTAAAAGAGGAAAGGGTACTCTACCAATTCAGTGAGCATTAACTCCGTTTAATTCTGAATTCAAGCAAAGTGTAGGCCAAATGATAATAACAAAAATAATACAAAACATTAATAAAATATGTTATCATCAGGCATACTTTTAATGAATGTGGTATTTTGGTTCATAATTTAAGGTATATAACAGGCCTAGGTAGGACTCCAGTCTGTGAACCATCCCTTCTCAGAAAGCATACAGTTTGTAAACATGGGAGAATGAGCGATTTCCAAATGGATGGTGTGTGTGTGTGTGTGTGTGTGTGTGTGTGTGTGTGTGTGTGCGCGTGTGTGCGTGTGTGCGTGTGTGTGTGTGTGTGTGTGTGTGTGTGTGTGTGTGTGTGTGTATGGTACAAATAGGAAGGCCAAGGGCACAGGTCCCTCTCAATCCCATATTTTTTACTAGGCCTCTGTAGATAAGCAGAAGGGTTTGCCTGGGAAGGTGGCTCAGTGTCAGAGCACTTGCCATGCATGCATGAGGTCCTGGGTTCAATTCCCCAGCACCACATAAGCAAAAAAAAAAAAAAAAGCTGGAAGTGGCACTGTGGCTCAAGTGGTAGAGTGCAAGCCTTGAGCTGAAGAGCTGAGGGACAGCACCTAGGCGCAGAGTTCAGGCCACAAGCCCGGACCCCCCACCCCAAAAAAGTAGAAGGGTGAACAGTGTGATGGAAGGCGTTAAGCGAGCAACTAGCTAAATCTTGCAATGTGAACTCCACTGTCCTTATCTTGTAAATGGAATCATAGGCAGGATTTAAGGATTCCTTTTTTTATTGTGAAAATACTGTAAAGAAGAGTTATTATTTTTGAACTACTGAAATAAAAACTGAAATTCTTGAAGCCACAGGAAGCCTGAGCTGAAGCACTGAAGGAAACCTCATGTTCCCAGAGACAGATTTCTTCAGAACAGCCCACAGGGCTAGCTTTTATGGAGGCCAAGATGAGAGAATCTCCTTTGAAGCCAGCTCTGGCTGGCTTCAACTCAGTTCCTGAGTTCAAAACCTCATATTGGCACAATAACGTTCCTTCATGAATGTGTGAAAGTATTGCTCTTCATGTAACCAAACAGCTCTAGACATATCTAGAATGACTGGCTTATATAGGATCTGGAGCCTTGGTCTTGGTTTATTAATTAAGCTCTTTCTGATGTAACAGAAATTGTTTCTAAATACCTGCAGGATATCTTTAATTATATAACTATACAGTGGCATCGATCTTGGCTCTAGAAATTCTAAATTTAGGTCAACCTTTCTGTTTCTGTAAAAGAAGACACTATATTTGTTCAAAGCCACATTATGGGAGATGGAATACTGGAGTGGATTTCACAGCTAGCAGTCTGCAAGCAGCCTGTTCTAACAAAGACTTGCAGTCCACAAATACACTTAGACAGCTTGGAAATAGGACAGAAAGGGGGGGAGAGAATAAAAACAGCACCGAGAAACCAATCAGCACCAAGAAAGTGATGAATTGGGACACTAGATGACGAGAGACAAGCCAGGAGAAAGCACCCAGGACATGATTACAGAGACATGTGGCATGGCATCTGGTGCCACTGCTGGTCCGTCCTAAATAGGGCCTAAGCAGGAGGCAGGTCTACAGGAAATTCCCATTCCAGGCACTGGACTTTCAGATTGAGTAACATCAGCCAAATGCCCATGCCTGCTTACAGGGATCCAGCCACACCCATCAGTTGGGAGGTAAGTGATGGATGGGGCATTTCCTTCCCCCTGCATAAAAACAAGATGCCTGACCCCACCATCTACCATGTGGCCAATAGGGCACCAGCCACACCTGACCTCCTTACTTAATAATACTGTATTATTAAATCTATTTATAAAATGTTACATCCTCTTTATCGTTTTGTAAACATTCAAAAATTTGCTTTTTGTAAAAGCCATATTTCTTGAGCTCCAACTCTGAAACAATAATTCTCACATTCACCAAAAATTAAACATTCTTCTTTTGAATAGTTTATTTCTTCCTTCTTCCTCATTTCTTCCCTTCCTCTTTCCATCTCTCACTTCCTTACTCCTTCCTTCCTTCCTCTCAGGGTCTAGAAGTGATGGTGTAGCTCAAGTGGCAGATGGTTTTATTCCTTTGTTAACTTCAATTTTTGTTGAAAGATTGATCAATATCTTTGTGTGCTTGATTATTTCCCCTAATGTCATATCTACTTTGGCCTTCTATGAGATAACACAGGTGCGACACATCGTCCATACAGGTCTTTTATTATAGCTCACTCAGCAGAACAAATAAATGGGCTAAGAGTGAATCAATCACAAGTTTTTCATCACCAGTGATTAATTAAAGAAAAGTGCAATCACTGAAGACACTTTGGGGTTCTCCCCCAAGACAAAATGCAGGGCTGCGAAGGTGGGTCAGTGGTAGAGCGCTTGCCTTGCATGCTCGAGGCCCTGGGTTCGATTCCTCAGCACCACATAAGCAAAAAGAAAAAAAAAGCCGGAAGTGGTGCTGTGGATCAAGTGGTAGAACGCTAGCCTTGAGCTGAAGAGCTGAGGGATAGCGCCCAGGCCGAGTTCAGGCCCCACGACCGGACCTCCCCCCCAAAAAATGCAGAGATTCTAGTCTTTATTAATCCATCATATTTTTTAAATATATATTTTATTGTAAAGATATTGTATCGATTGGTTATACCATTATATGAGTTAGGTCATTAATACATTTTCTATCAAGCATTGTTACCCCTCCAAGAAAGACTTTACTACTGTTATGACTTTTTCTAGAAAACCTTTCCAATTTTTCTACATATGATTTTTCTCCTCTTTGTGTGTGAGGGTGTATGTGTGTCTGTGTGTTTTGTGTGTTCTGTGATGAACCCTGAGCTGTGTCTTGTAGTTCGAGGACTCCATATCTGCTATATCATAAGGTCTGTATCCTGTATTGGTTCTGTATTGCAATTTCAATTTTCTTACAGATCAAAGACTTTCCCATTTGGTACAATCCTAAGTTATTTCATTTGTGTGAATCAACTTATGTGTGTTAAGCTGTCTTTCCACATTGGTCACATTCATAAGGTTTCTCTCCTTGTGTCTGTGATGGATGTTAAGTTGTGCCTTCCAGGTGAAAGAATTTCCATGCCTGCTACATACATAATATTTCTCTCTGGTTGGTTTTTTTCTGATGGACACAAAGGTGTATGTTCTGCATGAAAGATTTTCTACATAGGTCACATTCATAAAATTTCTCTCCTGTGTGTGCTCTCTGGTGGATAGTAAGTTGTAGCTTCTGGCTGAAAATCTTTCCGCAAACATGACATTCATAAGGTTTCTTTCCTGTGTTTTTTCTGATGGACAGTGAGGTTTGACTTCCAGGTGAAAGTCATTCCACACAGGTTACATTCATAAGGTTTCCTTCCTGTGTGTATTATCTGATGGACATTGATGCTTGACTTCCAAGAGAAGGACTTTCCACACATGTTACATTCATAAGGTCTCTCTAATGTGTGTGTTTTCTGGTGCACAGTAAGGTTTCTTTTATGGGTGAAAGACTTTCGACACAAGTTGCATTCATAAGTTTTCTCTCTGGTATGTGTTCTCTGATGGAGATTAAGATTTGATTTCTTGGTGAAAGATTTTCCACACATCTTACATTCATAAGGTTTCTCTCCTGTGTGTGTTCTCTGGTGCAGAGTAAGATATGCCTTGCAGGAGAAAGACTTTCCACACTTGTTACATTCATAAGGTTTCTCTCCTGTGTGTGTTCTCTGGTGTCTAGTAAGATATGCCTTGCATATGAAAGATTTTCCACAAATGTTACATTCAAAAGGTTTCTCTTTTGTGTGTGTTCTCTGGTGGACAGTAAGCTTTGATTTCTGGTTGAAAGACTTTTGACACATGTTACATTCATAAGGTTTCTCTCCTGTGTGTTTTCTCTGAGGGACAACAGGGTGTTTCTTCTCAGTGAAAGACTTTTCACACTGTTTACATTTGTCAACTACAGAAGACACATGAGTACTATATGCAGCACACATCTTACCAGGTTCACTGAAAATACCCATGCTCTGACAGCCAGTGACCTTTTCTATCCTCATCCCTAAGGAGTTCCCATTATTCTTAATCAGTTCTGACTTCTGTATGGAGCTCAAATGAAAACTTCTTATAAGTCTCACTTTTTCCTCCCCTGGGTTACTATTCATGATTGCTACTTCAGAGAGATATTTATTGTGACGTTCCTGGCAGGTGTTAATCACATCCTCCATTTCTGGGACATCTAAAATGAATAATAGAAAAATAAACAAAAACATAAATGAGATCCATATATTCCTTAATGTAAAGATATTTCCTCACATTCTGTTACAATATTTTCAAATATCAAAACATTGCTTTATGCAGAATGTATATATTTCTCTGCAATGTAGTAATTAAGAAAGTAGTACTGACATTTTACAATGGAAAATAATGTTTTTCTGTATTTCAGATTTTTATATTTTTCTCAAGGAAATATTTACTCAAATTATTCATCTCTGTACTCTTAACGCTTCCATTCTGAATCTCCCTCTATGCCCAGCACCACTGATAAGAAATTGTCCTGATCCTATTTTCCTCCTACCTGCAAAACACTAGTTTAAAATGAGATCTCTTTACTACGTTTCTTATTGTCTTTTTCTCTTTATGATGACTTCTCTACAGACAAAGAGAAGTGCTAACATTAACTACACTGGAACATCAAATTCAGTTTGTCTCCACGAGAATTCTGGATTGACAATTCCTTGAGACAAAGGATCACCTAGTTGTCTTCCATACATGACTCAAGGGCACTAGGAATACTATTGCTCTTTACAGCTCAAGATAAACAGACCCACTGGGCTCTGGACCCAACATCACTATTCAAGATGCTTTAACTCACCTGTGAAATTCTCTTCTGAGTCTTCTCTCATCCATGGTTCTGCACCTTGTTCCAGCTTCACAATCAATGTAGGTTTAGGAACACAGTGCCCTGTGAGTAAGAAATAGTGGAGAACTATTGCTCTTGCTGGGTCATCATTAATGTAATGTTGCAGACATCCTGTTCACTGGGTTGCTCCTAAATCTGGTTTCTCAATTGTTTTATTTTTTGGGGGGTGGGATCGGTTGTGGGGCCTGAACTCTGAGCCTAGGAGCTGTATCACACCTCCTAAACTCAAGGCTAGCACTCTACCACTTGAGCCACAATGCCAATTCTGGCTTTTTTTTTCTGCTTTTTTGGTGCTGAGGAATCGAACACAGGGCCGCAAGCATGCAAGGCACGGGCTCTACCACTGAGCCACCTTCCCAGTCCATGGTTTCTCAATTCTTAACAGCTCCATGGTGTACTTTCCCCCAGCTTTGGGTTTATTTTCCAAATGTGTGGCTTGGACTCAGCTCTTTTGCTCAAATCTAGCATTCTACTAGTTTGTGTCTTGGCTACATTTCTAGTTTTTGAATGGTTAATTGGAGATAAGAGTCTCATGTTCATTTTTCTACAGTTGTTGGCTTTAAACCAAAATCCTCAGATTTCAGCCTACAGAGTATCTAGAATTCCAAGCTTGAAGCAGTGCAACCTATGTCAGGTTTGGCTTACAAATACACACTTTCACACTTTCACCTACTGATCTCCAGATCATACTGACAGTACTAATGTATATTCTATCTAGAGTGTAGATCCACCTATAATAATCACCCCAAGTCTGGAAAGTCAGTCTCCTATTAGTGGATCATAGTTTAGAACTTTTGTCCAACTACTGATTAGAAATCTTAAAGACTGAGAATAAAATTAGCTCATGAGTTACACATAATGAAGTTGAAGTTTCCCTTAGGAAGAAATGACACTTCCCATGGAATGTAATCTTTTTTTTTTTAAAACAAAATGTAATGGTCCAAAGGGTTACATTTCTAACCCTACATTTAGGAGGTAAGATCAGAAGAGGCAGGCTTGAAACCAACCTGGGCATAGAAATTCAGAATATACACCAAAACAAAAGCCAAAATAGAGTGGTGGCTCAAGCAGTAGTGTGAAAGGCAAACAACATCAAGCTCCCAGACCTGAATTTGGCTGGCTTTTATACTAGCAGTTTTTTTTACAAGGGAATGGACTGGAATCTTATACCTAAATAACATAGTCAAATGTCTACTAAAATAAAAGCACTTGATCTTCCAAATAAAAGTGACCTTTGCTCACCCAAGGACATTAGGTTGTTATAAGTTTCCAGCATTACTTCTCTATGAAGGGTCCTCTCACCAGGATCCAGATCCTGCCACTCCTTCCAGGTAAAGTACACAGCCACATCATCAAATGACATCAGCTTCTGTAATGGCACATTTCCATCAAGAAATTAGACCTGGGTCATGAGAATTCCAATCTGGAATTTCATTATGCTGCAGGTATGCTTTTGTCTTACATAAAATGTTTGCAGCTGGCTAAGTTATCTTTTCACTGGGAAAATTAAATAGCAAATTAGAAATATTTGACAATACATAAACCTGGCCACTAAAATACACAGATTTGCAGGGCAATGGTGGCTTATGCCTGTAATCTTAGCTATTGAGGAGGATGAGCTCTGAGGATCACGTTTCATGGCCAGCCTAGGCAGGAAAGTGCATGAGACACTTATCTCCAATAAACCACAAGAAAACTGAAAGTAGCACTGTGACACAAGTGGTAGAGCACTCACCTTGACCTGAAGAGCTGATGGACAATAACCTGGCCGAGAATTCAGGCCCCAAGACCAATACAAATTCCCTAATGCATGCAAACACATTTCTGCTGCTAGCAATAGAGACAAGATAAAAATTCTAAGGGGACAATAATCTGGCATGATAACATTAAGTCTAAGGTGGTGTCTAAAAAATTATATTATTATTTTTGATAAAATTTTAGTATATATCAGTAGGTAACAATGAATTAAACAAATATTTTCTCTGCATTTACATTTATTGCTTCACCATAAATCCTATTTAGACCTTCTATTAACAAGTACTCTCATAAGCAAGCAGAACACATTCAGGACATCACATGGTATACAGAACATAGAACATTACTAGATCAAAGAAAAGCAGTGTCCAAATGAATGTTAAAAAACAGTAACAGTACTCCAGAAAGTAGCTAATGATTTATTGGGACCTTATAAGATTTGATTTAGTTCCCACATAAAAATATCCTAGGTTAAGTATGTTTGGTTTAAATACTAAATATTGAAATGTGGTCTTAGATACCGTAATATTTCCATCCTATGTAAAAAAGAACGGGTACCATGAAGGTTTGTAAACTTTACCTACATTCTACAACACAAAATATAGGTGGGAGGGGAATAAAATATACCTTGGGAAGATTTTCATTTTAATAGGCCTTCATGGAAGGTGGAGGCAAATAGATAGAGACTCAAGGAACTCAAGGTGACAAAAATGATAAATATGACCAAATGCTCAAATGTGTTAAATATTCCTGAGTCATTTCTCCAGTAGATCCCTAAAGATATATTTCCACTTTTGTTAGTTAATAGTGAAATTCTTCAGAGATCAAAATCAATTCCTAGCAAATATCTGTGAGATTTTACAACAAATGATATTTCTAATAGCGAAAAACTCATCACTGTATTTTTTTTTTTTTTTATCAAAACTACCTATCTTATACTGGCAGTGAATGAAAATATTTAAAAGTAGTGGGATGGAAAAACAAAACTGAATACCACAACAAATGTTAGACCAAAGATAACAGAATCAGGTGAAATCAAATTTTCTTGTTGTTTATCAGTTGGAGGAAGGACGTACTTTTCTGGGTGGAACTCTGAAGTTGAGCTGAAGGGGAAAAGGTTTGAGAGGTTGGAATTCCAGCCTGACAGCACTGAGAGAACTGAGAGCTGGCCGCAGAAGGGTTAAAAGAGAATTCTGGAGATGGTTAAGATATTGGAGTTCAGGCCTTTTCCTTACTGTTGGAAAGATAGCATCTGAAACTGAGCTGCTGTTCACCTTGAAGGCTAGGTAAGGTGAACTTCATGTCTGCATTTTCTCTGGGCGCCAGTCTTCTGTCTCAGGAGAATAAGGAAACATGTTTTCTTCACAACGTGTTGTGGCTTAGATTGTAATATTAATATAGATACTTCAGTTTTGCATGTTATCAATGGTAATCTTCCCTGTGTGAACTCAAGGAACTTTGCTTGCTTGCTGGCAACCACAGACCAAGTGCCAGAGAGGCTTCAGAACCCTGGTTTTCCCTAAGTTTATCTGTTTATGTTTTTGTGTTTCTCTAATTTTCTTTGTTTCTGGAATCCTGTAGAACTCTCTAGGCAACAATTTTCCTACACAGTGGGTATGAAAAATGTCAATCTTAAGAGGGATGTCAGCAAAGTAAAGCTGATCACTAAGAAAAACTAGTTCCCAGATAGATCATTGAAGAAAAGAAAAAACTGAGAGACATATGGAGGAAAGACAGAAGGAGAAAAGTAAGAAAAAATGATTCAAAGATAGATACAAAGAGAGAGAAAGAGAAAAATAACCAACACAAGTGAGTAGAAAACCAAAAGTAGAGAGAGATTATAGAGGAAAGAAATCTTGTGAGGATACTTTAGAAAACAAACAAGATTTTGAAAAAAGAACATAAACTTTAGCAACAAATATAGCCTCAGCTTCAAGTAAGACCAAGACCATGAAGTAGTCCAAGAAGTATATATGGAGAGTAATTTAAGTACATATAGGTTAATCATTCCTTAAGAACACACGAAGGTGCGTATGACCACACTATTTCAGCAATTCCAGCAAAATTTCATTGAGATAGTTTAATGTTACTCATGAGAATGAGATCTGGTTGCAATCTACCCTTCACCTTCCATGAGATGTAACCTGCTCAGTGGCACTACATCAGGTAACAGGTATGACTACATGTTATGACAAGTTGAAACCTAGACATTCTGAAGCCAATCTGAATTCAATTTAGAAAGAA